AACAATTGGGGAAGGAACTTTTGCCAAAGTCAAGTTTGCTAGAAACTCTGAAAATGGACAACCTGTGGCTCTCAAGATTCTCGACAAAGACAAAGTCCTCAAGCACAAGATGGCTGAACAGATTAGGAGGGAGATTGCAACTATGAAGTTGATTAAGCATCCAAATGTTGTTCAATTGTATGAGGTAAATTATCATCATTATTCTACTACTAATTTTGTGATACACCAATCTCAGAACTTACTAATTTTGCACAGGTGATGGCAAGCAAGTCAAAGATATTTATCATCTTGGAGTATGTCACCGGAGGAGAACTCTTCGATAAGATCGTAAGTTAAATGCTCATCATGACTAAGCTTCTATCACATTCCAACTACTGACTAGCTTCTATCTGATTGCCTAAAGGTAAATGACGGTCGGATGAAAGAAGATGAGGCCCGGAGATATTTCCAGCAGCTTATACATGCTGTGGACTACTGTCATAGCAGAGGTGTCTACCATAGAGACCTCAAGGTACCCTCCGTCGATGCACACGTTTTCTGGTAACAAGAATTCACTATTCTCTGTGTGTTTTGTAGCCTGAGAATTTACTATTGGATGCCTATGGAAACCTCAAGATCTCAGATTTTGGATTAAGTGCTTTGTCCCAACAAGTCAGGGTAATGACCATCCCTTTCACATTCTGTTTTACTTACCTGTTCCAATAAAGGAAGAGTTTTCGAAACTTTTATCCATATCTATTCCTGCTTATACATGGTTTATTATTATGTTTGGGGATAGCAGGATGATGGACTCCTTCATACATCGTGTGGAACTCCGAACTACGTTGCTCCTGAGGTCTGTCCTAATATTATCCTTTGATTTTACGACTTTCAGGGGTTTTATAACCAATCTCTTTCTCTTTGTGGTTTTTAGGTTCTCAATGATCGAGGCTACGATGGAGCAACAGCCGACATGTGGTCCTGCGGTGTTATACTCTATGTTCTGCTTGCAGGTTACTTGCCTTTTGATGATTCCAATCTAATGAATCTTTATAAAAAAGTGAGCAACAAATACTCTCTTTAGATGGATTCTTCCACCAGTCCTTATTTCAGGTTTTATAACTCACTTGTGGCATTTTTATTTTGTAGATTTCATCTGGGGAATTCAACTGTCCTCCGTGGCTCTCGCTTGGCGCCATGAAATTGATCACTCGAATCTTAGATCCGAACCCTATGACTGTAAGTAATTTTAACATGCTACTATGAGACTATGAGTTTGCAAATTTTGCATGCTCATATGCTGGTGAAATAAAAGCTGTCTGTTGCTAAAAATATTTACACAAACATGGACGTAATGAACTTGTATTCGTTATAAAAGAACAGATTAATAAATGAGTAGAGTAAGGAGCTCTATATTCCTTCCTTTTTGCCAATGATTTATTGTACAACTCAATCATGTTTTCCATTTTATCCAGCACAAAGGGGCTGGAGAAAAAAAAGGTTGGGGAACCTGTGTTATACATATTAAAATGTACAACTCTATCTGCTTCATCTTTCTCTTTTGTTTTTCGTTTGGCAAAATGGACAGTAAATGTGGTTAAACGTACTTATCAAATAAATATTTCTCAACACTTATTGTTAGATTTTTTTTTTTTGCTTAAATTTGGCCGGGAAACTGAGTTGATCTGGTTTTGTGTGTCAGCGTGTAACAGCACAAGAGGTCTTCGAAGATGAATGGTTCAAGAAAGATTACAAGCCTCCAGTGTTCGAGGAGAAGGATGATTCGAACATGGACGATGTTGAAGCTGTTTTCAAGGACTCCGAGGTGAGGAGGATAGTTTGTTGTTTTCTTCATTTTGTATTAAGAATATCGTAAAATAATGTGTGTGATCTGTACAGGAACATCATGTTACTGAGAAGAGAGAAGAGCAGCCAGTAGCAATTAATGCCTTTGAGATCATCTCAATGTCAAGGGGGCTCAACCTGGAGAATCTTTTTGATCCAGAACAGGTTTATGTTCATATAAAAGAAATGGCCTTCTTCTTGCCTTCTTGTCTTAATTTGCATTCTGATAACAAAATATATGTTGTTTAAAAAACTAGCAGGAATTTAAGAGAGAAACAAGGATAACACTGAGAGGAGGCGCAAATGAGATCATCGACAAGATAGAAGAAGCTGCAAAGCCTCTGGGGTTTGATGTGCAAAAGAAGAATTACAAGGTAAGTGAAAACTTTGGTAAGGAAATGAAATGAAAAAGCAATGACTAAGATGTGGTGTTAATGAAAATCAGATGAGGCTTGAGAATGTGAAGGCTGGAAGAAAAGGGAATCTCAATGTGTCAACGGAGGTATATAATAGTGAGAGTGAACATTTAAAAAAGCATGTTGTTGACGGTATGAGTTGATTCATTGTGTTTTTATCTATATGGTGTGACAAGCAGATATTCCAAGTAGCGCCAAGCCTTCATATGGTTCAAGTATCGAAGTCAAAAGGGGACACCCTCGAATTCCACAAGGTAATTCCATAGTTTGGTTTAGATTATTAAGTAATTACCTGTTTAATGAGCTAAGCAGAGGTGGTGTGTTTGCAGTTTTATAAGAAACTCTCGAATTCTCTGGAGAAGGTCGTTTGGACGAACAACGAAGTTAAGAAAGAAACGGAACAATGATGTATGAATGTTTGATCTTTTGGGACAAGCTTGCTTTCTTTGTTTTTGAGCTTTTTATGGCTTTTCCGGCTACTTTGTGTGGATGTTGAGAAG